CTTCTGCAGGCTAAACAATCCCAGTTCCCTCATCCTCTCCTCATAAGTCATGTGTTCCAGTCCCCTAATTATTTTTGTTGCCCTCCGCTGGACGTTTTCCAATTTTTCCACATCCTTCTTGTAGTGTGGGGCCCAAAACTGGACACAGTACTCCAGATGAGGCCTCACCAATGTCGAATAGAGGGAAATGCTCACGTCCCTCGATCTGCTGGCTATGCCCCTACTTATACATCCCAAAATGCCATTGGCCTTCTTGGCAACAAGGGCACACTGTTGACTCATATCCAGCTTCTTGTCCACTGTAACCCGTAGGTCCTTTTCTGCAGAACTGCTGCCGAGCCATTCGGTCCCTAGTCTGTAGCAGTGCATGGGATTCTTCCGTCCTAAGTGCAGAACTCTGCACTTGTCCTTGTTGAACCTCATCAGATTTCTTTTGGCCCAATCCTCCAATTTGTCTAGGTCCCTCTGTATCCTATCCCTCCCCTCCAGCATATCTACCTCTCCTCCCAGGTTAGTGTCATCTGCAAACTTGCTGAGGGTGCAATCCACGCCATCCTCCAGATCATTAATGAAGATATTGAACAAAACTGGCCCCAGGACCAACCCTTGGGGCACTCCACTTGATACCAGCTGCCAACTAGACATGGAGCCATTGATCACTACCCGTTAAGCCCGACAATCTAGCCAGCTTTCTATCCACCTTATAGACCATTCATCCAGCCCATACTTCTTTAACTTGCTGACAAGAATACTGTGGGAGACTGTGTCAAAAGCTTTGCTAAAGTCAAGGAATAACACGTCCACTGCTTTTCCCTCATCCACAGAGCCATTTATCTAGTCACAGAAGGCAATTAGATTAGTCAGGCATGACTTGCCCTTGGTGAATCCATGCAAAAGGAGGCAAAAAAAGCATTGAGTACATTAGCTTTTTCCACATCCTCTGTCACTAGGTTGCCTCCCTCATTCAGTAAGGGGCCCACACTTTCTTTGACTTTCTTCTTGTTGCTATCATAACTGAAGAAACCCTTTTTGTTATTCTTAACATCTCTTGCTAGCTGGAACTCCAAGTGTGATTTGGCCTTCCTGATTTCACTCCTGCATGCCTGAGCAATATTTTTATACCCTTCCCTGGTCATTTGTCCGATCTTCCACTTCTTGTAAGCTTCTTTTCTGTGTTTAAGATCAGCAAGGATTTCACTGTTAAGCCAAGTTGGTGGCCTGCCATCTTTACTATTCTTTCTACACATTGAGATGGTTTGTCCCTGTAACCTCAAAAAGGATTCTTTAAAATACAGCCAGCTCTCCTGGACTCCTTTCCCCCTCATGTTATTCTCCCAGGGGATCCTGCCCAATAGTTCCCTGAGGGAGTCAAAGTCTGCTTTTCTGAAGTCCAGGGTCCGTATTCCACTGCTCTCCTTTCTTCCTTGTGTCAGGCTCCTGAACCCGACCATCTCATGGTCACTGCCTCCCAGGTTCCCCTCCACTTTTGCTTCCCCTACTAATTCTTCCCAGTTTGTGAGCAGCAGGTCAAGAAGAGCTCTGCCCCTAGTTGGTTCCTCCAGCACTTGCACCAGGAAATTGTCCCCTACACTTTCCAAAAATGTCCTGGATTGTCTGTGCACTGCTGTATTGCTCTCCCAGCAGATATCAGGGTGATTGACATCTCCCATGAGAACCAGGACCTGCGATCTAGTAACTTCCGTTAGTTGCCGGATTATAAAAGCTTTTTAAATTTTTCTTTGCATACCATCCTATAATATAATTACCAGTTTATAGATATGGCCTTTGTGTTTCATATGCTTTTTGGCTTACATTTAACAGGTACCTATCCAATTTATGATTTTGAACAAGTAAATAACGTAATATACTTTAAAGATGTAAACTATGTCAACTTCACAGTGTTTACATTTGTCATCCTTTTTTAGTCCTCTCCTTACATTAATCATAAGTTGTAAAGTATTGAAAAAGTGTCTGCAATTTTAGATGTCAGCCATTCCCCAGTTACAATTAGCATTTAAAAGACTTAACATAAATTTTTATTCAAATATGCCGCCTTTGGTAGTCATGGTAACCTCCCTCATCAGTATCTTCCAGCTTCAGAATGTGCTGCCACAATACTTCTAGACACTACCATTCAGGTTTTTTCACTTGTTTCCCTCCTACCTTCTCCTCATGCACAAAAGACATACACCTGCCCTTGCAAAGTCTAAGCTGCATAACAACAAGAAAGGAGACAAAATAAAAATGTAAAAAAAGAATACTTATAAGCAGCACTGCATGAATCTTTCTGGAGATAGAAACTGATGAAGAAGAATGATTTATCTCTTGGATGACTTCAGCTGGTGTCTACATGTGGTACAGTAGTTAAATATAGTAAATCCTTTCTCTTCTTTTCTAATCATTCTAACGTTCCTACCCTGGTTGGTGCACCTGGTCTTGGCCTCTGATATCCATCTAGACAAATATCCTATAGTCTTCCAGTCATTTCCATAGCACCCCACTGAGACCATAGCTGCTGTCATCTGCTGAAATGGCAGTAGACTTAAAAACATTGCAAATGCCACTACTGGATATGTAAAGTGATGTTATGTCCCAGTTCTACCGAGATAGTCCTATTTTTATTTTGATGTCCCAGTGTCCCAATAACTACTTTTGGGATGCTTGAAATGTCCTGGCTTTTCATTAAATCAATCAAAACATTGGTATTTTTATGTTTGTTCAAGATGTATTGCTATGCTGAGTAGAATTTGCTCTCTGTTTGGCAGGAACTAACAGTCCAGTGGAATGAATATTCAGTGTGATGGACAGCAGAATGAAAGGAAAGCAGAACAAGCAGACATACTTACAGAGCTGTTCTTTAGCTCTAAGCGAACACTAACAATATTTGCAAAATGAAAAGGAGTACTTGTGGCACCTTAGAAACTAACCAGTTTATTTGAGCATAAGCTTTCATGAGCTACAGCTCACTTCATTTGGTTAGTCTCTAAGGTGCCACAAGTACTCCTTTTCTTTTTGCGAATACAGACTAACACGGCTGTTACTCTGAAACTAACAATATGTGTTAACTTGAGTTTCATTGTAAACTTATTCAGAAAATAGAGTTATGTTAGTGAGCAATGGAAACCTGAAGCCATTTCCAAATATTTCTCAGGGCTTGTCTGCAAGAACAATTAGTTCACAGCAAGCTGGGACGTGAATCTAACCCGCACTAGCCTGCCACAGACTAACTGTCCATGTGGACACTGCTGACACACATTACCAGTTTGTTAGAACCAATGTTGAAGGCCAATTTAGTCAGGGTGGATGTGGTCCACTCCCAATAATTGATGAGGAGGTGTCAAGCCTTCTTGGCCTTCAACATTGGTTCTCCACTTGTAAGGTAACTCCCTTCTCTTCATGTGCCAATATATATTTATGCCTGTTTCTGTAATATTCATTCCATGTATCCGAAGAAGTGGGTTTTTCACCCAGGAAAGCTTATGCCCAAATAAATCTGTTAGTCTTTAAGGTGCCACCGGACTCCTCGTTGTTTCTTCCATCAAATATCTCAATTCCTTGCTCCTCCCCCTTGTCAAATCAGTAAATTGTCCCTTTCAAACCCATAATTTCCTCATTCAAGTTGCTCCTCCATCCCCGATACATCCTTTGTGTATCTCCCCTACCCCAATTCTTTCTTTCAAATTTCCCTCCCTGTCTCGACTCCCTCCCTCTGGGTCCTTCACTCAAATTCCTCCCCCTCCCTTCATCCAACTGTCCCACCGTATCCCTCTACCTCTGACTCTCCACATCCTGTCCTTTGAGTTTCTCCCCTTTGTCTGTGTAGTGTTCCCATTCAGGAGAATTATGCTACTGCTCAAGGAGCCCAGGAGTCTTTCACAAATTGGAAGATTTAATAGATCAGAAAATATGAGTAGACTGAATCTTGGCATTTCCAAATGACCCCTTACATCCTGACTCCTCCACACTCACTCCAGAATAATATGAGTGGGATGGGGGTGGGGAGTCTTGAAGTAACTGGGTCAGGTTGGTTTTTTTAATGTTTTGCTCAGTCCAGGTGACATTTAGCCTTTACCATTCCCTGCATAGAGTAGCTGTACAAAACAGATCTAGGAAGAGATTGTGTGTGTGTGCGTACGGATGACCGTCTGTATTTATTATTATTTTAATTTGTAATAGGAACAATTTATAACATAGAATTGTTATTGTTGATGGGGTGGTATAGCTCATGTTGCCACTATTTGTGCTGGACCTGTTCTGCGGACGGAGATCTTCAGTCAAGCTGGCTGGGAATTTTTTGACAGGCCATTTTTTGTGCTCCACCCCCCAATTTGTCAAAGTGGAAATGATATGCAAAACAGGGGGTTTCAAGAACTCTCCAGACCCCCCCCACCCCCATTGGAATATTTGTTAATTGTTAAAACATCCTATTTTGACATTTTAAAACTGAAAGTTTCAGTTTTTCCAGTCAAAATGCACTTTGTTTTGAAATTTTAGTAAATTTAGATTAAAACATGGTGAAAGGGGGAAAGATCAAAAACAAATGAAAGGTTTCAGAATTATTAAAATGAAATCTTTTGGCTTACCCAAACCAAAATGTTCTTCATATTTTTGGGTCTTGAAAATTTTTGAGATTCTGACTTTTCCTCCCAGTTCAGGATGGGAAGGGAAAATTTTTTGCAGGTTGGGGAAAGACATCAGTCTCTGTGGCTGTATGCAGAGTAGTTTTAGCCCTGTTGATCCCAGGATATTAGAGAGAAAAAGATGAGTGAGGTGATATCTTGTATTGGACCAACTTCTCCTGGGGAGAGGGACAAGCTTTCAAACCACACAGAGCTCTTCTTCAGGTCTGGGAAAGTCTCCCTGGCCCTGTCTTTCACCATCCCTAACTTCACTGTATGAAGGGGGAGGCGGGAGAGGGAAAGAAAATAGGACAGGCTGATAGGCAGGGAAATCTCATTCCATAGTGCAGCGATGTATATCACCCACTGAGCTGCCAGGCTTCGGTGGGTCCCTGTGACTTTGTGTCATAACCTTCAGCTGGCACATGCAGCTAGGCACATGTTCACCTGCTTGCAGCTACAGACTGATGTGGGAGGGGAGCCTCCCGCTCCTTGACTTACGGTGTCCTCTGTGCCAGAGCGAGGGAGGCAGAGCGGATAGGCAGAGGGGAGGGAGGGAGTGGCCGAGGCAGAGGAGAGCGGAGCAGGGTGGAGAAAGGGCCGGCAGTGGATGCTGTGCAGCTGGCACCGGTCAGTCTCACCCGGAGCTCAGCCTCTCACTTCGGCGGGTAAGAGGCGGCGGCCGGCTGACAGCAGCATCCTGCACCAACTAGTCCCTTGTTCGCACATCACTTCCAGGAGGAGGGGAAGGCGGAGGGCAGGGGACCGGTCCCGGCTTGTAGCACCGGCGGCGCCGTGCGGGCTGCACTCATGCAAACCACCTTCTGCCCCGGCCCGGCGGGGGAGAGCGCTGCACCCCGGTAAGTGCTGGGCCCCGCGCTGGGGCTGGGGCTGTGGCGGCGGCAGCTGCGGGGAGGAAGGGGCACGGGCGGGAAGGCGAGTGGGGAGGGCTCCGGGTTAATCCCCTCAGCCCCCCCCCGTTGGCCCTTGGCAAGGGTAGGGAATGGGGGGGGGATGGGGTAGGACTGCCCCCCCACACTGATCGTTTGGTATCTAATCCCCCCATTCCTTTGAAGTGGTTTCTTTGTGGGGCCCCACTCCCTACCCCCCCCTTTGGTTACCCATCTAAATTAAGCAAATGGAGGGAGCACCCACCTCCTCATAGCAGACAAACCCACCCCAAATGCTTTTCCTGCCCTAAATGGGGCTGCCCCCCCTCCCCTTAGGGGACAAGATATTTCCCAAGCCACAGCCCCCACCATGGGGTTCTCTGTGATGTCACATGAGATGTAAGGAGACGGTGCAGGTGCACAGCCGTGAAGCTGAAGCTGGAGGTGGGGGAGAAATCAGGAAATAGTTCCCCCTCCCCATGTACCTCGCCTTTATATGAAGTGTTGTTCTGAGATTGGGTGTTGGCGGGGAGGGGGGGGAGGGTTGGAGAAAGGAAAAGTTTTGCAAAGTTGGAGCTGAGTTAGTGGTACCTATTTGTGTGTCTGAGACATCTTTGCAATGACCCAGAGGAAGGGTATATATTAAAAAAGAAAGTCAGTGAAAAGGAGTTTTCCCCTTCATATTCCTAGATACGTGTTAAGTGCAGATATGTGTTATCCTAGGGGCTCAAATCTCTTGAGTGTGTGTGGCTGTCCATCTATCTAATCAGTATGTTGTAGAATTATCGAAACTGGGGAGGTACAGGGTGTATTTTGTCATTCAGTTCACACATCTAGAATTATATTTCCGATTTCCCTTTATAAACATCTCAAGAGAGAGCTATTTGGATCATTGGTTGTGTAAATTGCAAGGACAGCCACTAATAATATGTTTCTTTATCTTGACTGTTTAATATTATTTGTGGCAGACTGGTAGGGAGTCAATCTAAGATGGAAAACGAAATACCTCCCCTATGGGCTGTAAAAAATTTTTTATACCCCTGGCATCATCTGGAAATGGGAACAATTTTTTTAATAAAATCAAGAAAATGGATCCGACTGTGCAACTGCTGTGTGCCCAAATGTGGATAATTGAAATTCTGTATTTAACAAGACTGTAATCACTGGTTTTAAACGTATTTTTAAATTTATTTTTAACATTTCATATAATCTGTAATAATCAGACATGTTAATATCTTAATGTCCTGAATAATTGGCATGATATAAAGTCTTTCTATGTGCATATTCAATATACAGTAGTAATAGTAATTATTTTTATTGCTTACAGCATAAAAGATCTAATGATTGTATACATCATTTTCTGTATTAAGATATGTCTTTGAAAAAAGTTTAAATTCATTAATCATACAGCCAATATTCACAGTAGTTGTTCTGTGTTAACAAAGCACACTAATGGGCCAATACTCCAAACTCTTTCTTATGTTCTTACTCGCCCATATACTTCAATGGCAATATTTGTGTTAGTCAAGACTATTTGCTTAAGGGTTTGCAGGATTGGGCACTTAAGTTTTTAGAGGATATATGTCACGTGTGCTTTTACTTTTCAAAAAGAAAGAAAAAATATTGATAAATGATATTTTTGTCTTTGGTTGTCCATACACTTTATGATGTTTCAGGGCCTGATCCAAAGCAGGCTGAAGTCAACGGGAGTCTTTGTCTTGAATTCAGGGAACTTTAAATCCATGTCTTAATGGGACATAAAGAAGTCATAGATGTATTTGATCTTTATTTCAATCCTATTGTCACCAGAGTTATTCCTACTTAAAATTCAATGACTGTTGCAGGATTGTTTAATTTAAATTTAAACGTTTAAATTAAAACTGCTTGAGTTGCAAATAGGTCTGAATAGGACTGTATTTGCCCTTAGGTTAATATTTAATATATATATTCCCACAACATTTGGGAATTAGGCATTGTGTAATCAGAGTGACAAATAATGAAGAAAAGGAATGCTTTTAGTAGTATCCACTAACACAATCGTTTATGCATTTTTACATATACTTTGGGGACAGCTTTTAGTCTCCGCTGGAATTATTTGTCATCTGCTGAGAACTGACTTAGTTCTGAATGGCATGAAATGGTCTGATTACTGATGGATTTTTATCCACTGGATTTTCCTCCTGTGCAGAATTTATTTTTGTATTAAAACAAACATTCTGTTGCTGTGTCTGCTGGAAAGCTTAGTTTTGATTGGATGCAACATGACAGTACATTACAATTTTTGTTTGCAGTGTTGTAGCCGTGTTGGTTCCAGCCTCTGAGAGAGACAAAGTGGGTGAGGTAATATCTTATATTGGACCAACTTCTGTTGGTGGAAGAGACAAGCTTTCAAGCTTACACAGCTTTTTTTCAGTTCTGGAAAAGGTAACCAGTGTGTCACAGCTAAATGTGTGGGATAGATTGATAAGTGTAAGGTGTAACACATGTTGCAGGAGATTACTTAAAAGGAAGTGGGCAATTAAAACCTCTACAGTCACAGGAAAAATGTTTAATATTCTGTATTAAACACTTTGTTTAATCATGTACAGTAAAACATCTTTTAAAAAGTCAGGTTTCTAATCACGTGTTATTAATAAAAGTTGTTTTTCCTTTTAAGCATGAATGACGAATATACTCCATCTGAAGCATAAAAGTACTTGATTCTGGAAAAGCACGTGAAAACACCTTTAGCGTTAAAATCAGGAAGAAGTATGAAAGAACAGTCTGTCTGATACTGAATTTCTGGGCCACAACATCTTGCAGAGAACAAAAATGGCTCTTTCTAAAAACACTGTTGCAAGTATCCTCGAAGACTGGTGTTTGGAGGAACCACTGTTTAGGTGTAGAAGGCAACAGAATGTCAGGAAAAAACTGAGACTGATACGAATAATAGGTTTTTTCATGAGTATAATGGCCATTAGCACTTTCTCTCTTTCAATTAGTGCCTTTTTCAAGATGGAGCCACATAGCACAGAGATGACCAGCAGTCTAGGTAGCCAAAAGTCAATGCATGGGCATCAAAGAACTCTGCTGGATGTCAAGGAACAGAATCAAAATGGCACTCCAGATCCACCTATTTCTATGAAATATGAAACTGAACACAATCATGCAAAAGGAGAACACTCCAAGGGAGAGTACCCAGAAGACCTTTTTTCTCTTGCGGAAAGAAGAAGGGGGGCAGTAATCCTCCATATCCTGGGAATGATTTACATGTTCATAGCCTTAGCCATAGTCTGTGATGAATTCTTTGTTCCTTCACTGACTGCCATCACTGAGAAGCTAGCCATATCTGATGATGTGGCTGGGGCAACATTCATGGCTGCGGGTGGCTCAGCTCCAGAACTCTTCACATCTTTGATAGGAGTCTTTATATCTCACAGCAATGTTGGCATTGGAACAATAGTAGGATCTGCAGTATTCAATATCCTGTTTGTTATTGGAATGTGTGCTTTATTTTCTAGAGAGATCTTGAACCTTACCTGGTGGCCACTCTTTAGGGATGTGTCCTTTTATATCATGGACTTGATCTTGCTAATAATCTTTTTTTTGGATAATTTAATCATGTGGTGGGAGAGCTTAACACTACTGACAGCTTATTTTTGTTATGTGACTTTCATGAAATTCAACGTTCAAGTAGAAGAATATGTGAAAAAAATTTTAAACAGGAACAAAGTTGAGAAGGTAACAACAGCAGATTCTGAACAGAAGGTTGGTTATTTTTTAATACGTATATAAATCTGAAATGCTTCTGTGTCTTAAGGGTTCTTGCTGTGGTAAATATATGTGACATGGAGGTTTCTAGGTTTTACCAAATATTTCTGTGATTACCATACCATATAGTCCACTGTACCAGTCAACTGGCAAATAAGGCATGAAATAGCTTTTTGAAGCTTATTTACTCCCAGTAGTTTTTTACTCCATAATAGTCTAAGCCACATGGGTAACCATTCAGAAGTCAGCATTTACCATATCATGGTGTTTAAGATACTACGGATATCCCCTATACTCTTAAATTAGACAGTAGCTTTAGTATCTCTTGGCAAATGCTGTCTTTTTTATGACTACCACAGCACTTTCTTCACCAGGAACAAGTAAACAAATTTGGAACAATATACAAAAGTACATCTTTTGTAAATTTATCTGTAGAAGCAACAGAGGGGATCCTGTTATTTTTCCAGTTATTTGGATTTACACTATTTCATCACTTTTAAAGAATTTTTATATGAATTAACTTTTCATTTTTCTTTGCAACATCTCAATGATTACATTGGTATAGGGCTGGGCCTTTAATTTAAACAAATATCTTTATTGCACATTATCTCTCAGCTGAACATACTACAGTTATAAGCCTCATACTTGGGCCTTGTGATGAAAGGTGGGGATGTTTGCAATGGTATTCAGTGGATCTGGTTATCATCAACTTGGTGAAGATAACTATAAAGAGAGAGTTTCTTTAGAAAGGAGGTATTTAAGCTAATTAGAAAGCTGAATTCATAAATACTGCATGTAGGCAGCGTGGAATTTTGTCTCAGGGCTTTAGAATACTTGTGCAAACTTTTCATGTTGTCATCTAGGTGGGGTTTAGTCAAGAGCCTAGTTGCATATGAATATGAGATGTTGGCATAGGGAGATTATTTACACATAGATGATACAGTCAGATTTTTTCATGAGTTAAAATTGTTGTTCAGTAAAGTATGATAGAATTAGCCACCATTTTGTGTGTGTCTGCAGCAGCCACAAAATGGTGGAACAGAATAAAAATGATGATCTTGATCTCTCTGTGTCTCTGTATATGTATATGTGTGTGTGTATTGCATAGACACAGATAGATATACATATGGGCTCCAATCCTGCTGCTGATAGCATACAGTCAGACTTGTGCACCCATGCAGAATGCCAACTAAGTTAATGGGGCTTCACATGGTAGTGCAGTACACCTAGGTGCTATTAGTTGTGGGATGGAGACATAGAAAATGATCAGAAAAATTTCCATCAAAACAACATTCAAATGAAAATGGGGGCGGGGAGTGAAATGTTTTTCATTTTCTGACCAGCTTTAGCATATATATAATAATGTTTATAAATAAAGAGATTCCTTTTGGCCTTTGTATTCCATCCATTTTCCCAAAACAGAACTGTCAACTTTTTCTGTCTCAACATCTCTGTTTGAAAATGAAACAAGAAGGAAAATAGCAAACAGCTATTTGCCTTAAATAATAAAGCGTCTTTCAAAAGTTGTATAAATATGTCTGCTTCTTAAGAATGAAATCTCTGGTAAGGAATTGTAAAGACAATCACATTTTATACTAAATGTGTTTCTGTAGGAAGCGGCTGCAGTATATAGAGTACTCCTAATTGATCAGTCCATGATTACTTTATCTATTAATCTTCTTATACAAGACATATGATATACTATTTGAGGTTTTTCTTTCATCCAAATAAAAATGGAATCTGTCAACTGATTTGGATTATCCAGGTCAGTCTATTTCAGTCTATAAAGTAACATAGTGTGTTGTACACATATCATGATAAGGATTTATTTATTCTTTACTCAACAGGAGAATAAAATATTTGAAAGCCAAATGAAATGTTCTGAATGCACACTAAAGTACTCTTGATAGATTTGACTAATTAGGCAAAAGCCATTTTGCAAAGTTCACTCATTTACTATATTTGAATAGTTCATTCATTTTCTTAAAGCTGACTCTATACCCATTTCAGCTTGTGCATTCCATCAGTGGTTCACTCATGTGCGTGTATAGCTAAAATGGGTATTAAAGAATCATAAAATTGTCAACTTTTTTCTAGAGAAATTAGCTTTGCACCATATTTGTGAAAAGACTGGGAAAGTGGACTCTGAGAGAATAGTTACATATATATATATATATATATATATATATATATATATATGAGTTAGGCTGTAAAAGATTTTGGAAACTTCTATTAAAACTTTGAAATAATAATCTATTCATTATCAATTCCTTTAGTATTCGTATGAAAAAAATGATCAGGATTAACTCATTTGGTAATAATGGGGAATGTCATATAGTAAGTGCTTCAATAAGAATCCTGTTGTTATTCTGCATTCATTTATTTATCATGAATCTAAAATGTTAGATAATTGCGTTGTATTGCTTTTTAAATGAAAAAAAAACTGGAAAATACAGCAGTCTCTCCTATAGAAATGTTAAAGGGTTCACTTTGTACAATCATTTCCTCAAGCAGAGAATAAAAATACTTATTGAGTGGTTAATCTCAGTGGCACATGGATGCTTACTTCCCAACCAATGGAGATTAGAAGGGCTGCAGAATTGGTATTCTTGATCTTTGAAGGCAGAACTGCCTTACTTCAATACTATCCCTTCCTCCACAGGGAAAGTGCCATGGTATCCAAGGCAAAATAATATTATATGTTATAAAATTAGCATATTTATATTCAAAAGCAACAAATGTAATTGTTCCTAATGCAAAATTGGCTTTTGTTTGATGTTTTTCTGTGAGGCATGGAATAGTGAGACAGCTCTTTGCAGTCACTAGATAGTGACTAAGGGTGTTCTCAGGGACTCTTACTGCAAAGCTGTTTCATGCTTTTGGGTTTTGCAAGACTCAGTAGAAAATTCTCCTGTTCCTTTTTGTTTCTTCTTCTAAATGTGCAGTACCAGCTCTACCATGGGTAAGCTGGAAAGTGGTCAGCCAAAGAAACTGTTGTCTATGGTGTTTAACTTTAAGACTTTGTTGTAATCTGACAGCAGGTCAACAGAGTTCTGAGAGGTCTAAATAAAGAAACATAAAGCTGGATAGCTGAAGGGTTAAGTGGCTTAGCAACAAATCTCAACCTCAAAGAGTAAAAAACCGAGATATTCATAGAGATAGATGAAAAACATTTGAAACGGTTAAAAGTCCTGTTGAAGTATATGGCAATACTTTGATTATCAGTCCCTTTCAGTAAAAGTCTGCAAGAAACTTGCTATGCTCTAAGAGGGAAATTCATCCCATTGTGGGAGCCCTCATAATTAAGGCTAAAGCAGGGCGTAAGTAGTGTATATAGCACAGGGTGAATTTCATCCCATAAAGAACAATCTTCTGAGTCTTCTGGTGTATTTTTAGGCTTAAATCATTTTGTTTGTCCATGGTGTAAATCACCCTGTCTGTGTTTAAATATAAATCAATATTAATATCTCCTATCAAATTGAAAATAGGTCTTAATTACATATGAAATCGTCTGTCTCTCTGCCTGTTAGTCTTTCTCAAGGATATTTCTAATGCTTGTGTCACCAGTTGTGTCTAGGTGCCTCTTGAGTTTCACATAGATCTGAGAAGTATAGTTGGCACCAGTAGATTGTGAGCACTGAAGCACAAACAGAAAGCCATTTTTTGTGGTGTAGTCTTCTCTTGTTGTATGAATTATCTGTGTAAATGCCTGTGCATCTAGTCAGGAACATCTGCATACTGCGGGGTTTAAATTTAATGTGGGTTCACTTTAATCCCATGTTTTCAAGCTCTTGTTCTTTAAATATCCCTATCCCCTTTACAAAAAGTACAGGTTAAGAAAATCTGGCAGAAGTTGACGTGGGCAAAGGCATGCTAACAACAATTAGTGAAATGGATGAGAATGGTACAGATTGCAAGCTCCTTGGGGGTGGAGCCTATGTGGTCCTTAGTGTTTTCTACAACACCAAATGTATGGACAGTGCTCAGTGAAAAACTGTGATAATCCTCCTCCTCGGTTCCATTCTGCCTTTGGGGTAAGCACAACATGCTGAGCAGCATGGTGATCATCTTCTGCAGGTGAGCTCTGCAGAGGTGTACAAACAGGAGGGGGAAGGAAGGAGGACAGATAAAAGGGGGAAGAGGTCAGAGAAGCAAAACAAAACAAAAGTGGACAGACAGATGGGGAGGTAGAGTGGGATGATTAAAATATGAACATAAGGGCAAACCTGGTAGTGTAGTAGCAGCACATCATAATTCAGGACCAACCTTGGTCTTTGCTTTCCAGGCCAGCAAGGGGCTGGAAGTGCTGTGAATGGATGACACACAGCCTGGCATGGAAGCCTTAAGTTTCTGACTAGTGACCCTATACAGGAGTAGCATGGAAGAGCTTTTAGAAAGAACCACATAGTTGGATGGAGGGGATAAAAGGAAAGAGGTAAGGATTGAAATAAAGGATGGGGAGAGTAAAACAAAACCAGCCTGGGGGGAAAAGTGGAGAGGTACAGATAATCGTACAACTGTACAAAATCTAAGGAGAGAGAGATGTAGACAGAGAAAGGATGAAGGAGAGGAAAGAGAAAATGAGAAAGGAATAACTTTGAAGGTAGTGGAAACAAGAATTATAGCAGTTTTATTGGTTGCCTCAGCAGAGAAACAAAAGATTGGAAAGCCAATGCAAGGGAATGAAAATTGAATTTATCATGCCATCCCTATTAGCGGATCTTGCTTTAGCTGAGGTGCAATAGCTGGGTAGTCTACCCTGACACTGAAAATGTTGAACCTTTTCTGTAGATAGAAGGCTTCAATCTGTTCTTGAGATGTCAACTTCCACCTCGTTAAGTACAATTATATTATTACATTACAGTCTTCCTGCACCAATGTTGGCGCATAGGGCAGAAACTAGTCTCTTCCATTCCTCTGTCATTTGCTGCTGCTTCTATCTGCTCTATATTGTTGAAATCAACTGTTCTGCTCTCCCTACTAAAGGTTCTTCTTAA